TACATTTAAACCCTGCCATTTCACAGGCCTAGTAGCAGCCAACACGCCTACCAGGCAGCTAAGCTTCTCAATGACACAAGGGTAACCTTCCTAGAGAAATTCAGCTAGGTGACATTATAGCAGTGTTAAAGTGATCTTTCTTTGGGAGCTAAAGGTCACACTCTCCTGGTTAAGATGGATTTAACGCAGAGTGGCCGTCACTCACTATACATGTTCTGTGTTATAACTCTAAACTGCTGCTTGCTGCAAATAATTGAACAAATAACCATTTATGTAGCAGTGACATTTATTTATTATAAATTACTATTAAATTATTACTATTTCATTTCATTTTTTTCATTTCCATCTTTATTTCGAACAGATTTAAAAAACAAATACAAAATAATAAATGTGAAAAACAGAATACCAACTTGTTAGAATACAGTATTTATCAATATTCATAATATTATTTATATATTCAACAAAAATATTCATAATAATAATAATAAATCATGTGTCCGAAAGGGAGCAGGAGGAAGCAAATGCTTTTTAATTCCCACCCCTTACTTACTGCTAATCAATGATTATCCTTTAAATAATTTCTGCAAGTTATTCCTACTCACATCTTTACATTTATACATACATTTACAATAATCTCTCATCTTCAATCACTTCTCTTCATTCTCATAGTTTTTCAAAAAAGTGTTTCTGTCCATCCTTTTAAACTGAATGATGCTTTTGCTTTGTTCTAACTCCTGCTCCAAACCATTCCATAAAGTCACCCCACAGATTGTTCTACTCATACTTCTCAGAGTTGTTCTGACCTTGAGTTGTTTCAAATGTAGATTTCCTCTCAAATGATACCCACCCTCTCTGTCTACGAACAATGTTTTTAATTTCCTAGGAAGTAGATTATGTCTTGCTCTGTACATGATTTGTCACAGCCATTCAAATAGTACAGTAGATACAATTCTGCAGCTTGGTCCATCCTTTAAGGATAAAACTGCCAGCTGACTCAGCAGTTTGCAGAGGAATAGGAATTAAAGGCTTTTAACACTATGTGTAACAGATAACGTCAGCATCATCTTAAGGATATCAAAAGCTTACAGGTATTTACCTTGGCTCAGGAGTGATGCTGCGTGACAGGTAAACTAAAGCTTTTAGCAACACTTTACTTGTAACAATACCCTCCCTACTTGTTGTTTGATTGTGCTTATTGTGGAGAACCTAATGAAAAACAGCCTCTTTCAGATGCATGGCACTAGATCTATGAGTTATTTCACATTAAATGCTAGATTAATTAAAACAACTCACTGCAAGTGGGTGCACACAACCTGTCCAATCAACAAAGTGTAAATACACCTTACAAATACAAGGTGTGTGGCGCAGTGGACTAGCGCGTTGGTGTTCGGATCAGGGTTCAAACCCCTCTGCAGTCAGCATGTCGTTGTGTCCCTGAGACACTTCACCCCAAATTGCTCCAGTGGGGATTGCCCACAGTATTGAGTATGTAAGTTGCTTTGGATAAAAGCGTCTAACAAGTAACATGTAATGTAAATACATTGAGTGAAAAATATTGTTATCTTTATTAAAAAATATGGTTGTTTGAGTGGCTTGGGTATATAAAGAAACAATATCTTAAGCACCGTATTAAGATTGTCTGTATTATTATGATAGATCCACTGATGGCTACTTGTACGCCACTATGTTATAATAGGAACATAGGGAACCGTTCATTTCCTGATATGGTTCAACATCTTTAGGGTCCCTATGGATTCTATCATAAAGGCATTCATCTCACTATTCATTGATATTGTTATTACTGGTCTTGCACCATAGGGTCCTTATTTATTCATCAATGATGTCTTACTTCTACTCGGCCACATGCTTTTCTTTGAGAAGCACTCCCCCTCTCACTTTACCTCAATTAATGTAATTCTCTTGGAGCTCACTTGAGTGCTGATTGGAATGAAACACTGTATTCAGAGTACATGCCTGCGAGGGAATGATAACACCAGATCATTAACAACACAGAGCGGCAAATGTTTAACAGTGGATGCCATTCTTCATCCTAATGTGTCCCTGTCTGTACTTATTTGCTGCTGAAGCCATGTGCAATAAAGTTGCCGTCATGAAACAAAAAAAAAAGGAATGACTGTAGAAACTCAACATCTCTCTCTCTCATGGCTCTTGGAAAAATAATCTGATGGATCATAATGGAGTAATCAAGTTCAGTGTTATTTTGTGTCGTGTTATTTTGTGGGTAATTTAAAACTGTGTAGAGGAGTAAGAAGACTCATTACGAGCTCTCACTTGGGTCTATAACCTGCTGAACTTGAAGTCATGGAGCTTTACCAACAGGGGATTATGATTTGACCATTTTCTTTATTGGGTTTCAGTATCAGTGGTAATAGAGTTGGACATAATAGTATCTCATCGACTGATATTCAATATGCGATAGCCACATGATACAGGGAGACTGATGGAATTGAGCTTGCAATAAGGACACTCCTTCTTCTTAGGTGTCTTAGCATGCCATACACGGCCCCGCTCCACTCCATCTAACGGCACTCAGAGCTGACTTGATCAATGGGGGTTAAGGAATAAGAAAGATTCAGGATGGCTCGAGGCAGGAAGGAGCACAGCAGGCTCTGGTGAGGGGTGAACAATCATCTCTGCCTGTTTTGAAATCTCCCGGTTTCACTTGATTAAAGATGGTTTCATCAAATTCCCTATCTGGACTTTGACCTCTGAAGTAATAAAATACAATTGTGTGAAATAAATCTAACCCATAAACCCTTTTTTATGAGTCTGATGTCCAGTTGCACGTCGGTTTAGTTGGAAAAAGTTATTAGATGTGACCACAATGGTACTAACATGTCACCCCATTAACTGTTGACCGTAATGTAATTGTAATATCAGGTGTTTTGCCCCCTTTGCTCCACACAGTCATACTCCGTCAAATATAACATGGTCCTTGAAATCTGTTGAAGCAAAAACATGTGCACTATCCGTCACAAACCTTATGTGGATCAGCAAAAACGCACCATGTGATCATGTGGCAATTTACAGAGAGAGATGAAACTGCATAATGCTGGCGAAAGTCTTTGTATGGTGACAACAGCCTTCACACACAGACAGAAGTCCCCCAGAGACATGTCTTGATGAGTGTGAACTAGATATGAAGGATTTGATTCCTGTCGGGGAGGGGGTTTCTTTTCTCACACTTCACTGTGAGTTAATTACAGTTCCATAACATGTACTTGAATGTTGAAAATTACATATTTTAATTGATGGTTAAACATTGAATTAAAACATCCATCTACAATCATAGCATTAGTGACACTATCATTAATTCACCCTTTAATGTTGAGGATGCCATTTTAGTTTTTTGCATATAACTGGAAATTATGAAATGATAACATCAATTGTTAATAAGTGGAATATGTGAAAGCATGCTTAATGATATAATTGGAGTTAAATGTTTTTTTTGTTTTCTTCTTAAACCCCGTATTTATCTCTCTGTATCCAATTCCCTGGTGGTGTAAGGTCTATATTTTATCGTAAAGGATTGCATGAGTCAAGTGTCAGCCACAGCACATACATCACACTTGCCACCATCCATCTTTGATTGCATCCTCCTGTTACTGCTGCTCCACCCCCCTACTGCTTCTTTTTAAAACTTAAAGGGGACCTATCATGCAAAATGCACTTTTGTACGTCTTTTATACATGAATATGTGTCCCCGGTGTTCCAAGGAACCCACCAAGTGTCAGAAAACACAACCCTCTCTCTTTTCCTCCATACCCAAATCTCTTAAAAAGGGGCTGCAACGGATCTGATACAGACTGATCCAGATTTGAACACTTCTATGACGTCACAGAAGTGGCGCTACGGCTATTGGGCCAACTCCACCAATCAGGAGGACACAGCCACAGACATTGCCGTTCGAAAGCGCTGGAGACGCTGTAGTACATATGCCAGGCCTGTAGATGGTGCTGTTCTCACAGAATCAGCCCATGCAAAGACAGTGTTAAATTGAGCGAAATGAGAAATGGCTAAAATGCATGATCTGTTTGGTATTTTGAAAAATAAAAAGTATAAATATGCCTTATATAGGTATGGTCCTACACTATATTATTCAAATATGGCATGATAGGTCCACTTTAAACAGTGAATGCAGGCTAGACGTAGGATGAAAAGAGTAAGGGATTGAAACATAAAAATACGTGATGGACCCAGATCAAACCACAGATGTGCTCAACGTATGCGCCTATTACACAGCATGAACAATGCTGTTAATTCCACTTGAAGCTCTGCCCCTTCACTTCATATCAGGGTGATACAATTGACTGATTGATCATCTGTAAGGTGTGGGCTGGAAATGGTGTTTAGAATACAGGGGACACAATTAGAGCGCGGATGAGATGTATGTAGATTACTAGGATGTATTGGGCATTTGATTTTCTTGGTAGAATCAATACTTCCTAAGGTATCACAATAGGTGTCACAGAAAGCAGTACATTCACAGCAGCTGCTTGCATTTGAAATACCTTTTGAAGCTCTGTGTAGAAAAGTGAACGATGCAAAATTCAAAACCGTCAGCACTCTCAATTATGCAAGCACATACCTTATTCCTCGTAACCGCCCACCTCTATTCATCTAGAGTCTGTGGCATGAATATTGCAGTGGGATTCATACTCTCTGTTCTGTTAGGAACTATGTCACACCAGAATAGCATTTTTAAGCATTTGTATGTTGAACTAACCGTCCAACGGAAAATGTAAACAATGTCGAAGGAAAGTATTTTAGTACAAGTTCGCACTGCATATTTTTATTTCACTCTATAGCTCAAACCATGGCATACAATCTCATTGTACATGTTCCTGTATTCCTCTTTGAGCTGATGTACTTAATGTTCCAGATCTGCACTGAAATGCTAGGCAGTTTATTATTGGTGTCAAAGCTGGTACATTTTATTTTCAAACTAAATGATTTTCCTCTTCTTTGTGTCTCCCCAGGTAACCGATAAGATGGCGGCCAGGGAAGCGACTGGGCACAGCTACCTGGTGGCTTTCTGGCAGCCCATTCTGATACTGATGCTTGGCGCCGTGCTGTCTGGCTCCACTACAGGCTGTCCATCCCGCTGTGAGTGCAATGTTCAAGAGCGCTCTGTGATGTGCCACCGCAAAAAGCTCATGACAGTTCCAGAGGGCATTCCTGCAGAAACAAAACTGCTGGACCTGAGCAAGAACCGCATCAGAACCATCAACCCAGACGAGTTTGCCATGTTTCCCAACCTCGAAAACCTGGAGCTCAGTGAAAACACGATCTCCACCATTGAACCTGGAGCATTCAATAACCTTTACGGTCTGCGGACATTAGGGCTGCGTAGCAACAAGCTCAAGCTGATACAGCTCGGGGTATTCACAGGCCTGAGCAATCTCACACAGCTGGACATAAGTGAGAACAAGATTGTCATCCTGTTGGACTACATGTTCCAGGATTTGTACAACCTGCGGTCCTTAGAGGTGGGTGATAATGACCTTGTTTTCATCTCCCACCGAGCTTTTCACGGGCTTAGTAGCCTTGAACATCTGAGTCTTGAGAAGTGCAACCTGTCCTCCGTACCGACAGATGCTTTTACACACCTTCACAATTTGATCACGCTCAGGCTGCGTCTCCTCAATATCAATGTGATACGGGATTATTCCTTCAAACGGCTCTACCGGCTGAAAGTGTTGGAAATAGCCAATTGGCCTTATCTGGATACGATGACTCCAAATTGCTTGTATGGATTAAATCTCACCTCCCTGACCATTGCAAATGCCAACCTGACAACAATTCCTTATGTTGCCCTGCGGCACTTGGTCTATTTGCGCTTTCTTAATCTCTCCTATAACCCTATCCATACCATTGAGGGGAATAAGCTTCATGACCTTCTGCGTCTGCAGGAATTTCACCTGGTTGGAGGCAGACTGGCAATGATTGAGCCCTACTCTTTCCGTGGTCTAAACTACCTGAAGATCCTAAATGTTTCTGGAAACACTCTAACTACTTTAGAGGAGTCTGCTTTCCATTCAGTCGGCAACCTCGAAACCCTTGCCTTGTATGATAACCCCCTGGCCTGTGACTGCAGACTGTTATGGGTTTTCCGACGACGCTGGAGACTGAACTTCAACAGGCAGCAGCCTACCTGTGCCTCCCCTGAGTTTGTCCAAGGCAAAGAATTCAAAGACTTTCCAGATGTCCTGCAGCCAAACTACTTCACGTGTCGCAAGTCTAGGATTAGGGATCGCAAAGCTCAGCAGAAATATGTTGACGAGGGAGCCATTGTTCATTTCGCTTGCCAAGCAGAGGGAGATCCTTCTCCAGTGATAATGTGGCTATCTCCGCAAAAGAAGTTCATCACCTCCAAGACAATTGGAAGGCTTTCCGTGTTGCCAGATGGTACCCTGGAGGTTCGATATGCCCAGACCCAGGACAATGGTACATATGCATGTATAGCTAGCAACGCCGGCGGAAATGACACCTCCCCTGCTCACCTTCACATCCATAGCTACTCGCCTGACTGGCCACAAAGGTCCAACAAGACTTTAGCCTTCATCTCCAACCAGCCGGCTGAAAGTGGTAATGGTACACGAGCCAATGCCCCTTTCCCCTTTGATATTAAGACGTTGATCATTGCCACTACAATGGGCTTCATCTCTTTTCTCGGTGTCGTCTTGTTTTGCCTGGTGCTGCTCTTCCTATGGAGTAGAGGTAAAGGCGCCACGAAGCACAACATCGAGATCGAGTATGTGCCACGGAAATCGGACGCGGGCATGAGCAGCAGCACAGCGGATGCTCCTCGCAAGTTTAACATGAAAATGATATAACCCAGACGAGGAATTTATTAATTTTGAACAAAAAAAAAGACAAATGGAAAAGAAGACATTTTCTTTCCTCCCTTACCAACCTGTGGATCCTGGTCTGTGAACATAGAGTAAAATGTTTTTTTCTGATCGAAGTGCTAAAGAAGAGAGCACTTCCTGACTTTCACATGTAAGAGGGAATGAAAGCACCTCCAGTGCTACAAGGCATTGGTGGTTTCTTCATGGCCTGTGAAGGCATCAACTGAAAGTCAACTTTGTCATATCAGTTCATATTCCTGTGGATTTATACTGGGAACAATATATCTGAAAAGAAAACACTTCAAACAGCCAGTATGGGAGGGGCAGATCAAACATCGCTGTTTTGTGTCTGTATTTTTTATGTTATGTTATTTTTTTCTTACATTTGTTTCCAAGGTTGGATGTGAAGTTATGAATGAGATTTGTATAGGTTGATGAGCACATGTATACAACGTACAATTTAAATGAATCATCATTATACTATGTTCTACATATGGTCCGTTTTCTTTCCTACAGTGATGAATGTTCTGTAAACCATCAAATGTATATGTTGGTCACAATACCTGATGAAAAAAAATGAGTATGTCCCACCATTGAGCAGAAATATATAAGTATAGCAAAATGATAGGAAATACAGAACGAGGCACAATAGAAAATCTTATTTGAAGCTAATTCAAAGCCAACTTATTGTCTGAGAAAGAACAATGAAGGGTACTGTAAACCAGTTGGTCATTAGGTGACCTGAAAAACAGAATGATACACATAAGTGCTCTGAAATTACAGATGGATATACAGTGGGGCAAAAAAGTATTTAGTCAGCCACCAATTGTGCAAGTTCTCCCACTTAAAAAGATGAGAGAGGCCTGTAATTTTCAACCTAGGTATACCTCAACTATGAGAGACAAAATGAGAAAAAAAAATCCAGAAAATCACATTGTCTGATTTTTAAAGAATTTATTTGCAAATTATGGTGGAAAAATGTGGTCAATAACAAAAGTTCATCTCAATACTTTGTTATATACCCTTTGTTGGCAATGACAGAGGTCAAACGTTTTCTGTAAGTCTTCACAAGGTTTTCACACTGTTGCTGGTATTTTGGCCCATTCCTCCATGCAGATCTCCTCTAGAGCAGTGATGTTTTGGGGCTGTCGCTGGGCAACACGGACTTTCAACTCCCTCCAAAGATTTTCTATGGGGTTGAGATCTGGAGACTGGCTAGGCCACTCCAGTACCTTGAAATGCTTCT